ACGGGCTGACGGAGAATCTCTGCTCTGGCACCGGGAGCACCTCCTCCCCCCCTTGATGTCTGCCTTGGTGTCTCACACTCCGCTCCTCTCTGCAGCAGGTTCCCCAGCAGGTTATCTTTCCCCTCTTAAACATGTTATCCCAGATGCTACCACCATCGCTGATGGGCTTAGCCATTGCCAGGGCCGGGTCTGACTTGGAGTCAGGGAAGCTTCTAGCAACTTCTCAAAGGAGCTACCCCTGCAGTCCTTCCCCCCGCTACCAAAACCTTGCCACACACACCCAACACCCTTTGCAAAATTGGGTTTATTTGGTCAAAATTTTATTCTGGAACAGAAAATGGGAAGAAAGTTCTAACAATATTGGAACATATTGTTTTGACATTTTTGGAAGAAATCGTTTCACTTTTGCACTTTGAAACATTGTTCATTTTGATATTAAAAGTTGCTTTTGCCCTAGATTATATACTAAAAGGAGATATTTTCAAATGTCATAATTTAACCAAAGTTCATGAAAGAGGAATTATATGAGCTAAACAAAACATTTTGGCCAGCCTCAAACACTTCTTGTTTTTAATTTTCCTTCACGGAGAATTTCAAAAGTTTCAGGTTTTGTTCCAAACGAAACCAGGTTTCAAAGTCTTTCTTGGCTAAGTGGAAATTCCACCTTCCACCCTCCACTACTACTGAAAGCAATCCAAACTTCGCTAATCCTGTTTACTTGATAATCCAGTCACACTTGTAGCCGGAGCACTGCTTCCAGGCTTGAAGCTCTTGGAGCACATCCACCCACGGGGCAGGTGCTCTCTGCACCAGGCCTGGCAGCCTCAGCCCTTGGATGTCCAAACTGGGGGGTGAGTTGGAGCGAACCACAACCTCTGTTGGGCCCCCACCCTGGGTGTATGGGGCAGAGGACTCATGCCCACACGTCGTGGCCCATCACGCAGCGGGAACGTAGCTTTCTGTATATGCTGACTTTAGGACTAGGGAGTGCCAGCACTGCATATATCACCATATTAACTTACAAATACTTTTCCTTGTAGAATAACTCCCACGTACTCTAGCTGCAGGACCGACGAGCCCTTAACATAAGAATATATTTGTATAACAAGTTTGCAAAACCCAGGGATTGGCCTTTGAGTTCAATGAGCCCCCCCTGCATGTATACAATGAAATTTGGGCCAAGAGTGTGCAGCTCCCGAAGGAATAGCTCGTGATGGATAGACTGAAATAGCATTCTGCTCTTTCCAAACTGTAATTTGCGATTACTGACCTCTGCCTGCTATAATCTTAAATATGGCCTACCACATCCACGCACTTAAGTAATGGAAGGTACACAGGGAGGAGAGTTAACGATGGAGATCTAATGGCATTGTACGACCAGCTCTGCAGATCATTCTACCTCCAACCTGCCCTAAGAGGAGCAGTATGACTTTAAAACACCCTGAATTAGACTGGGCTTAACAGTCCCCTGCCTTCATGCTCCGAGTACTTGCCCAAAGGCCAATCGCCACTCCTTTCAGCAAGTCTGCTGGTTCAGCCCGTCACCATTCAGTGCCAGCAAAGGCAGCAG